GGCAGCGAACATGTTCGGTTGCGAACCGTTCGGTGAACGAACATGTTCGGTTGCGAACCGTTTGGTGACCGAACATGTTCGGTTGCGAACCGTTCGGTCACCGAACTATCGGTTTGGTGCATGCCTACCGCTGAGCGGCGTTACCCTTATTGACATTCAATGAAGAGTTTCAATCAGATTCCACTTGATTAAGATTTAGACTTAACGAAAAACGACAAGAACCAGTCAATATGTCTTCTTGTAGTACAAGGGAAGAAAATTGTTGAAAAAAAAACTGAGCTCAGTCTAACTTTATGGCAAGTTCAGAAATTTCATTAACCAGTTTTGTCTTTTCGACTTTCTTCTCTTGTTCGATTTCCATAGTTTTTTTTTACTTGTCTTTACCTCTTTGTCTATCATTTGCGCTTATTTTTAATGCAGAGTCCTGATGAGTATTTATATTTTAATAAATAACACGAACGCGTTGGCGAAATAAAGTTAAAGAAATGGGATATTTCACCTAATGTACGTTTTCACCAAGTTTTTGGAACTGTTTAGAAAAACAAATATTACCACGAAACTCAGCATGATCGATTACCCATAGCGCATACGTCTATAAGGCTACCAATAGTCACCGGGTGCCAGTGCTGGGACTCGTAGGAAATATGATACAACGCCCGAACCGCGGAAAATCAAGATCTCACTTTACCCCCATTTTGAAGAGGACATCCCAGGCTATCAATCCATGAGAAAAAAGCAATACAATCCTATTGGAAAATGTTTACAGACGGCATAGTTCTCCAAAAATCTCTTAGAAAACCTGTTCCAGAAAAGTGTTATGAAAACGACTTTGGTTATGAAAATATGCCCCCAAGTTTCCTCTTTCCACTGGTGAAAATCGGAGCTCTCTAGCTCTTTTCTATCAAAAGATATTCAAAACACAACCAAGTGCACGGTGTTTTGACGCCGATAATAGAAAAATGTTTTTCAAATCTGGAAAACAAAGTAATGGTAGTTTGCTAACCCGTGTTTTGTGATACTCCTAGGTACACACTATCGATAGATGATAAGAAAAAATCTAAGTGTTTAACTTTTGTTTCAGTCAAATTTTTTCACAAAAACGGTACTATTTTTATCAGAATAATTACACCTCAAAGTTTTGAGTTCCCTTTTTTTTTATGTAAACACTTCGAATGGCGGCAAGGTCATCCTCTTCAAAGGGAGCAGTGTCTTATAAATGAAATTTCAGGTACATAGGTAGTCTTAGATTTCAAATCACAACACACAGAGTTTCGAATTTATCAAAAACGTCTCCCTGTAATTCCCTAGGAAACGAAACTGGTTTTCGAAATAGTTTTTTTGTCCCCTTTTCTGCACCTTGCTATCATAAAACGCCAAGTGTTATGCATGATCAATCAACAGGTCCAAACGTCTTAGAGGACGGCACCTTAACCCCAAACTCTGTACTGACTTCATTTTTAAATTACCGAAATTTCAAAACCCCAAGGGCAAAAATTCTCGTGGTTTTTCTGAAAAAAGGTGGAAATTCTTTTCACAAAGGAAAAATTCTCTCATTCTCAAGAAGGTAGGGTTAATTTTTTGCCTCAATAATTCCGAGGGAAATATGAAAATGGGAGCAATTTATACATGGCCGCTTTAAGAAAGAAAGAAAGATTTTTAATTGTTTGAGAAGAGAAAACACGTTGACACTCTATTCTGAGTCAGATTTCTTTTTATTCTTCCGTATTAACGTTTTTTTGATCATAGAAACACAGAACAGAAAAATATACATTTGTATACCTCCGAAAGTCTTTTTTTTTATTTTTTAATGGAAATTCTGTGGAGGCAGGAGCAGCAGAAACGAGAAGAAGAAATATAATAAGAACGATGAACGAAAAGGAAAGGAAGTAATTTTCTCGCGGAGAAAGGGGGCTATTCAACGAACTCTATTTTTTCTAGTGTTGTGCAAGAACACACACATTACATAAATAAAGAAAAAAAACTGCATATTCCTTCGCACTTCTTTACAAAATAAAAATTCATAAAGAATAATAATGGGCTCTGTTAACTCGTCGGACGCCTCTATTCCTACAACTGCTACTTCTTCAGTTACGGCTTCTAGAACTCGTGCGCCCGTTCTTCTTCGTCCACGTAATTTTCAGTGGTACTGGAACTCATCGTCGAATCCCTGGTCTTCATCTAGCAGTGTGGAACCTGACAATTGGCAAAAGTATTCGGACATTGAAAATGAAGTTATTGAAGATGCATTCAACGAGAAAAAAGAAGAGGTCGAACTCGATGTAAATTACGTCGTTAGCCTCGAACATCAGGTGCAGTATCACAACACTGATAAAACTCGCCAGCGTCCAATTAAACGCGTGCAACTCAAAACTGATCGAAGCAACGTCCATTTGCGAGATGACAGATTCGCAGTACCAGTCACATTGGCTACGATGACAACAGCAACTACTTCTAAAACCAAAGAAGAGAAGGTCCTTGAAGACCTACGAACACGTGGTGATCTCCTTCGTGCGTATGATAAGCTTGTACTCCGTGAGAAAAATATAAATTTCGCTGATATTTTGGAAGATGCTGCTGGTGGAATTTTAGTCGAAGGAGCTAAAATTGGTAAAGAAAGAGAAGCACAGTGGTTGGCTAAACAATTACTTGATGTCAAACATTTCAGTCAGGACCAACGAGTCAATCAGTTCTCAATTCCTCAGCCTATCGGTGAGACTTGTGTCTATCTCTACACGAAAGAATCGTTTTGGTATAAACTTCTCAACTCCTGTCTTCGTAATCACCAAACAATGACTCTCGAACAAGTTAAAACATTGGGTCCCTTTTGTTGGTTACTGCGATGGTATATAAACAAACATACAGCCGAAGGAAAATTTGCTGTTTATCGTGGCCTTAACCTTACTGATGAACAACGAAAAGAATTTATGAAGGAACGAGACTATTGGAATCCCATAAAATTCACTTCGTTCACTTCAACTAGCGGCAATCGAAAGTTGGCTGAACGGTTTGGTAATACATTGTTGATCTTTGATTTGAAAGTAAAAAGTAAACTCATGCAAAGTGAATACGTTGAACCTGGTATGGATGTATCACATCTGTCTGATTTTCCTAATGAGGAAGAGTATACAATGCCCCCGGGCAGTCAGTTTCATTTTATTCGTAGTGAATATGACAATGAAACAAAGAAACATATTATTCATCTTGAAGCAGAGGAGTGGCAATGATGTTAAGTTCATTTTGAAATCAGCTTACGGTTACGCTGTAGTGTGACCGGCTTACTTTATTCTGAAGATACTGTACCTGTGTTTACACGCTTGAAATAATTTTTATTGCAAACTAAAAAACAGAGCAGATTTTCTGCTCAAGATATAGTTATCTACGAAGTCGTACGAAGCCTTGAAAGGACCCCGCCGGATAAGAACTGAAATCTGCTCCTTTAACCTTATCGATTGGACATAACGCGTTGGAAAGCTCACTCGATCAGGAGTATTTTGGCCTAAAAAAAATTTCAAAAAAAAGTTGTCCGTTCGGTCGCTCCGAGTCTCACAAAATCGGAAAAGTGCCAAAATCGAAGAGTTTTTCCATGATTTTGATCATCAAGATGAAATTTTTTCTCACATGACACGTACAAAAATCGCAGTCAGTGCAAAATTCTGCGTCGAATAATATATTGCATTAAACAAAGTTCTCAACTTGATTGTCTGAGAAGTTTATGTGCTGGGGCCGTGCAATATATCAAAAATTAAAAGTGGCGAATTTGGTTAGTGCGATACCTCATTCAACGCAGAATTCCATGTTGATTCCGAATATATACAATCTATGCAGAAAAAAGTTCCATCTTTGTGGTCAAAATGCTCGAAAACTTACCGTTTTTTTTTTGCCATTTGTGAACTTCGGCGCGACTGACGAGAAAAAATTTTTCTTGAAAAATTTCTAGGCCAAAACGTTCCTCAGCGTGTGCGCTTTCTGATTTGCACCCTCCGATCGATGACGTTAAAGAGGCAGATTTAAGTTCTTACCCGGCAGGGGTCTTTGGGATCTTTTTTAATCACATGTTTGCTTTAAAAGCCTATCTTTTCCTCCGATCACATCCTTCATCAGTCACTTTTTTACTCCCTGTCAGTTTAAATATATTATAGATCGATCAAAGCGCGAGTGAGAGAGGTTACCAAGTCATTTCTCCCTTTCAATATTACCCTCTCGAGTCGACAGAAAGAAAGAAAGATTTTTTTCTATAATTCGGAAAAAGAACACACATTTTTTTCTTTTCCTTCTCTTTTTAGGTCTTCTTAGAATGTAATTATTCTCACATTAGTACAGAAACACGTACTTTTTCTATGAAAAGAGATAAGAGGAGAAACGTGCTTCTTTGAGTGAATATAATTTCATTTTCAGTCTCATTCCACCTTCCCATTTTTTTTGTTCCATCTTCCATATACAAAGTTGTTGTCCAAACATTTTTGTTGAGCAAAATGCCTTGCTGGCAGCCAATCAGTTTTCTTTGAGAACTTTGTCTGCAATAAAAAAATGATTATCGGCCAGTGTTTGCTTTTTTTTCAGACACATTTTTACTGAGAAATTTGCGTTTCGTCTATTTTCGGACACGCAAAACTAAAAATAAACGAAAATCCTTAACAAGCCAGACACTTTTCCATCGAAGTTAATTTGAAACTGGAGTATTGTAGGAAATGTTTTCCTAAAAAGTTCACCCCTCATTGATCAAACTCGCAAGGTCTGTTTTTAATTGCTAAGAAAAGGTTAATCAGAACTAAAGGTTTCTCGAGGATAAGGATGACGATTATTTTTTCCCATGCTACACGGCAGAAAGTTCCGATTTCCCTGCATGGGGCAATTGGAACCTTTTGCACCGGTTTTAGCAAAATCCCGATTCAAGATCTTTCAGAAGCCGCTCTAAAAGTCTGAAACGACAGTTTTGTAGAAAAATGTTTGCTCTACAAAACTGTGGATTCAGATTTTCAAAATTCGCAAAAATAAAAAAGTTATGGGCATTCTACGGCGAAAAATAAAAAAGTGGTTTCAATTACGCCAATCTACAGTATCATCTACTCTCCGTTTCAAAATGGTTGGCACTCGGTTGCTTTTTGAATAACTTTTTAACGAAAAGCGCTAGCGACTTGCGGTTTTCAGCATCGTGTAGAGGACGAATTTCGACGTTAGGTAAACAATGAC